GCAGGAACTGCTGGGCGAACTCGTGGTGATGGAGGAGCTGAAGGATTTCATTACACAGAAAAAATATTTCAAAATGCGTATTAGGGTTGATCGCATCCCCAAATATCATATGAGTGATTTTTTTGACCGGGGGAGAGGGGAAAAGGAGTGGTACTCTGAAGCATTTCTTTTATCATTTTCGTCGAAGTCAATGAAAGCTTGTTCAGTGACAGACTACGAAGTGGCAACACTTTGTTGATATGTTGTTATCCAGTAAGGATCTGAGTCATAAAGAGAAAATAAAAAACCTCAATGAAAATGAAGTTTGCTTTATTATTTTTTAAATTGACTTCTGGTATAAATATTCATAAAAAACTAAAAAGGTGTAATTTTTTCGAGAATTGCTTCCCTAAATTAGGATCTTTTCATTATTGTAGGTGAAGTGATATCAAGATTCAAAGGGAAACAAGCATCGAATTCTGTAAATAAGTACACAACCACAGAGTTGCAGCGCAAATTGTATTTTTAAAATATTTACTAGAAATCTGTAGCGGTCTTTGAAATTTTGTATTTTACCAACTGGGTAAGAAGAAAACGCAATAACCTCTGAAACTGTAATTGCTTGATGCTGTTCACTTTAAATAAAATGCTCCAAAAATAGAGCAAGATGTTACAGAGATCAAGTTCCGAAGACTTACTCCAAGAATGATTAATGCCGCTTAGTAATTTTTTTGGAACATTGTATGCAACAACCTTGCAGTAGTTCAATTTGATAAAAGAGATTGTTTTTAGAAACCCTTTAAAATTAAAAAAAAATACGTCTTTTCTTCAATGCATTATCTCTCAGACCTTACGTTTATGTTTCGTCCTCGTGGGTTGGAACATTGCTGAAAGACGGCACTCCTTCAAATATATCTTCTTCTACTCTTTTTCTGCTTTTGAACAATTACATACTCTAGAAATTATGACCAAAGTATGGATGAACCGCGATATCAACTGCCAAGGCCACTCTACAGAATTATGAACTAATTAAATACATTACACCGCAATTCAGTGTTTTAATGACAACTTCAAAATAAGACGAAAAGAGATAGATAAATAATTGCCAAGAGCTGCTACCATTAGACCACTTATTTTTCAATAGTCTGCCATCTTCTGAAAAAAACCTAAACCATTGAAAACGTACTCTTCTCTGTTTCTGGAACTTCCACTTCGTAGTCTTGATACAGCTGGCGCATAGCTATGCGCCGATCTTCACTGTATGGATCAATGACGTCGACGTCTGCATCGGCCGAAGGCTTTTGAGGAGAACGCATTAAAGAAGAATCGCAAGATTGAAATTCCTGAAAAAGAAGTGCATTATGACCAAGAGTCAGCGATTATGCAGGTTTCATGAACTACTTCTCAATTCAAGTTTCCTTTCCATATAATTTGGCAGGACAAACAAAAGGGTGCAAATTTTGATTGACTAGTATTTAAAAAGAAAATAAGCATGAAATAATGTATGGCTACAATCACTTCAAAGTGCATCTAGTCAGAAATAGTGGGAAAATATCTAAGAAAAGAACTCCTGTATTTTTGTAACTTGAAGCAAAAAATTAGTGACAGAAAAACGAAATCTTAATTATGACAAATTTAACAATCATATCTAAAATCTTCAAAAAGGTGCTTGGAGTGCTTGGACTTAGATGTCATAGCACTAGACGTTCGTATTCGAAAGAAACTTGGTCAAGGTCTAATGTAAGAGATTATTCCTTGTAGAAAGCTATTGAAAATGGGAAGAAGTTTAAGGAAAAA